ACAAACAGCATATTAAAGCAAGTGTCCCGGCAGGATTTCGTTTCCCACTTTTCGGTGCCTTCTCGCCATGGAGAATCCATATCTGGGCTTTTAAGCGCATGAAAATGGCGGAAATGAGCTTTTCGGAGCTTTCCAGGTCCGTATTCAGTAAAACGTGTAAGTGGGCGGAGTCCGAAACGAGGGAGGCGGAGAGCAGAAGACTTCTGACGTATTTTCACTGAATGCGGACCTGCGAAGCTTAGAAAAAGGTTCATTCTCAGCGTTTTCTTGCGCTGAGAATCTCACATATGGGTTCCCCATGGCGAAAAGGCTTTGAAACGGTGAAAAACTGTGAAACAAAGCTCTGTAGTGACACTGCCCTTTATTTTGATACATCAAACATGGTAGTCAAATAGTATGGATGGACATCGTACAAAAGAATTTACCAGTGTTAGTCCAAGGGACCATATGTCGGAGCGAATGTCATACTTCTTGCCATAATGCGACAAACGCTCTGGCTAAAAAAGATTATGGTACAACAAGTGCTAATATCAAGAAAAAGCAAAAAAGCAAGAAAATAAAGAAAAGACGATCCACAAAACTGGTAACTAGCTGCACTGACCGCAAGATAAGGCTGGCATCCAGCATCGTGAGTTTTAGCCAAAGAATCGATTAGTTGACCACTAATACCGAAATCGCACAGCTTCACCATGCCACATCTATTTACGAGAATATTAGATGGCTTCACATCTGAAAATACACATTGGTAAGAGCATACAAAGTAACAGCTACCCAAACAAGTTCTTATGGCCAGCTTTACCTCTATGTATAATTTCGAGGTTGCGCTTCAAGTAATCTAGTGCGTCTATTACCTGAAAAGCATATTCACAACATCTCCTCCCTTCATACACAAAGCAACATACAGATACTGCAATATGTCCGATCACGTTCTCTTCGAATCGCGCATGATGAAGGTTATACACACGCTCATAAAGAATATTCAAGGAGATGTCCATCAGTTCCATGCAGATCCAACAGTCACCCTTAACAATTCAAAGAATGATTTTTGAAGAGAAGGCATAAGGAAGAGCATGAAAACTCATCTGAGATACGAATGTAAATGCTCGAGTAAATGCTACTATAAATCAATCAAAAACAGAAAAAAACCCAAAGCTTGAAGCATTGTCCCGGCAGAATTTTGTGCTGCGTTTTCCACATTTTCGGAGCCTTCTCGCCATGAG